TCATTCTTCCGTTACTTGATATATAAAATGACACAGATTCCCTTTCATGTTAGAACAAAGGAAATGCGAGCAAATATTAAGCATGGTTTGTGCATTAATTCCTTTTACCTTCTCAATATAAAAGTTTATCACCAAATATCTGTTTATATTTTTCAATAAAGGTTGAGCTTTGGTGTATGCTTCCTGCATCCCCAAATCTCCCAACTATATACATGTAACATATTAAGTACAAGTTATAATATGTTACGAGTTATCATTAATTACAACTATATACATGTACCAAATATCTGTTTATATTTTTCAGTAACTATATACTCGTTAAGAATTTGTTTAAGAATTTGTACCAAGAATCTGTTTATATTTTTCATTAATTACAACTATATACATGTACCAAATAAAGGTTGAGCTTTGGACTTGATAAGCTCTACAAATGACAAGGAGCTATGTGCAATCATTCTATTAACCACAAAAATAGCATCATAAATGATTGAGAGACAATTTATCAGAAAACAACAGTGCAATACCTTGGATCTAGAACAACTGCAATGAGAAGAATTTTGTTGATGTTTTCAACCTTCCCCCAATATTTATCGAATTTCTCCTTCATTGATTTGGCAATTTTGGCAAGCAATACATCATTACCTTGCAAAAATACGCATAAGAGGCATTTAGTTAAAATTGTTAAATTGTTAAAGACATAAAAAAAAGAAGATAAAATCATAAAAGTAAATTTGAGATGAAGTTTAATAGTTTACCATCGATGCACTTGTTCATCTCAATCAGTGTACACATCCATTGGATTGGCTGATTCGAAGTCACAACTTGTGTCCCACTAAAATCAAGGGTTGCCTCATAGGAAATCTTCAAAAACCTCACCAGCCTTTCAGATTTGTTCCAATCCTCTGCAATTGGAGGTCCAGCTCTATCATTGAAGTATGCAACAAATTGTGGATCCTCATCTTCCAACCTAAGAAATGCCTTCCGGTACTTAATGGCTATGTCTAGCATTAAGTATGTAGAGTTCCACCTAGTGCAAACATCCAAAAGCACTATCCCACCTTTTTGCTCAACTTTTTCTTGAGTTGCACACTTTCTAAACTTCTCCAACCTAGAAGGACTTGATCTAATGTACTTCACACAATTTCTAATGGACTCAATCAAGGAGTCCAGCTCTGCCATTCCATCCTTAACCACTAAGTTAAGAATGTGACAACAACACCTCATATGCAGAAACTCCCCTTTTAGGACTAGCTCATTCCAATTCCCTATCTTCTCTTTCATGTAATCTAAAGCCACTTGATTAGGAGAAGCATTATCAACAACAATGCAGAAAATTTTCTCTATTCCCCACTTAATAAGACAAGTTTCAACTAGCTGCCCAATAGTCTTCCCCATATGGTTTGGTATCACACAAAAGTTCAAGATTCTTTTGTGTAAAATCCAATCATCATCAATAAAGTGAGCTGTGAGCACCATGTAATTGATATTTTGGATCAAAGTCCAAGTATCAGTGGTCAGTGAAACTCTCTGTCCATAAGTGGCTAAGATATATTTGATTGTAATCCTCTCCGACTCATACAACTCCCAAATATCTCTAGCATCAGTTCTACGTGAAAACTTCTTAAACTGTGGTTGAACATTACTTATAAAATCCCTAAACCCAGGCCCGTCAACAAAACTAAAAGGCAGTTTATCCCTAACTATCATCCTAGCAAGAGCTAACCTACATACCTCCTCATCATAAGACCAAGCAACTAACCTACCCCCCCTTGTCGAATGACTCTTGCGCCTTGAAATGCAAAAAAATCTTGAATCAGTAACTTAACTACTCAATAGTACAAACTGAATTTAAGAATACAGAAAGTGAAAGAATAGAATTTACCAGCTGCTTCTGTTTCTTGGGGACCCTAAGTGGACACTTCGGGCAATTGTAAAGGTTGCTCCTCATGTTGCTGGTTCCGTTCAATCTCGAATCACAACTATAGGTTTGCGGACACCAATTGCACTTTGCTCTCAGCTTGGCCAAAGGTGTGCCATCGGGATTCTTCATCAATGTGAAATGATCCCAAGCAATGCTTCCGTTCTTCCTCTTCGATTGAATAGAGGAAGATTAGCCCAGAGTTGCAGTCGAGACTGACGCAGCAACACTAGGGGGAGTTTCAGTAATGTGTTGAACCATGACAGCAGGTGTAGGAGTCGTCCTAGATCCAGTTCTGTGGCTTAAGGACGGATTGGTTTGACCCGAATCCATCACCTGAAAAACACCGCCCCCCCCTCTAAAAACCAAAGACAAAAATCAAAGCAGCAGCAACGACAACTTCACACCAAATTCAGACCTTTGTAGTTATTGAAAAAATATAAACAGATATTTGGTCATCAGGAATTTTGAGAAAAAGGCAGCTAAAAAGCAGCAACTTTGACATCAACAGTTAATTTTTTAAACAGATATAAACAGATATAAACAGATAATTTTTTAGTTGGGGGTTTCAAAAAGGTAGCTAAACAAATATAAATAGATATTTTTTTGACATCAACAAAGATTAAAAAACCCAGAACCCTATTGAAACCCCCCAAAAAAATTAAAATTAAAAAAAGCAGCAACTTTGACATCAACAAAGATGATGCGTCGGTCATCAGCGATGATGGGATCGCGGATGATCAGTTGCCGCCGGCGTGAAGGAGAAGAAGATCGACTTAGGGTTTTCTTGAGTTTCTACAGTTTTTCTTGAGTTTCTACAAGAATCTTAAGGAGAGAGAAGAGGAGAAGAATTACCTTCGAGTTTCTGGGATCACGGATGCTTCGACTTTGATTTCTTGCAATTTTAGGCAGCAAAATTTGGATGTAGTTTGGAGATTAAAAGGAGATGAAGAAGATGAAGAAGATAAAGAAACATTTTCGATTTTTTTTCAATTAGTTAATTAGTTTTTTTGGTGTTCATGCCGAAGTAATAGGAGAGGGAATGGTGGGGAAGTCTGGGAGAAATAGGGGAGAGGCGGCGGTGTTGTGGGAGTCTGGGAGAAATAGGGTTAGCCGGTTAGGGATTTTTAAGTATTTATAGTATAGAATTCGGGTCGGTTTTTTTGGGCGGTTCAGTGGTTCAAACCGGATCCAGACCGGTTTAATTCGGTTCGGACGGTTTAGAGACTTCTTCTCATCCATTTAATTCGGTTCGGTTAACCGGTCCGCTTTTTCGGGCGGTTTTTTCGGTTGAACCGGTTTTTTTCGGTTTTTGCCCACCCCTAGGGGATAGTATATAAAAACGATTGCAGAGGTTATTATGGGTGATAAGGATTTTGTAGGGTGGAGTTTAATTTGCTGTTAATAGAGGTGTTATGGAGGGTTAATAGGGGGTTACGAAACTGATGAATAATTATGAGAAGCCTTTGAAGGGGTTGTTTATGTATGTATATATGTACGTATGTACATTCTTCTCAAAAAAATGTATGTGTGGTTGTGTTTTATGTGTGAATGTCTGTGTTTTAGAGGGTATTTTGGGAAGAAATGTTTTACATCCTAACACACTTATAATAGTCTATGTAAGATGAAATTAGAGTCCATGGTCTCATTTGCATCCTGGTTGTTCGTAGCATGACAATATAATTTTGTAAATATTTTTGTTTTTCGTTAAACAGCTTTTAAGGCTGGAATTTTTATGGTCGATTGACATGCTCATATTCGCAAAATGAGCTAATACAACTACGATAAAGTTTTTTCTTCTTAGCAATACAAATTCCTCTGCCTTTAACTTTAAAATTGTCTCCTCGAAACATTTACCTGGATGGTTCTTCCAAGGTGGAAGAAAAAGCTCCAACACCTTGCATGCATGCATATACGTAGTACAAACATGTATATGTGTGTGCAAGTGCGCCCCATTTGTGTATGCACATGCATGCGAAGTGAAAAATAATTAATCTCTCTGATGTAAGAAATGTCTCAAATAATGGTATGGTTATATCTTATAATTATAGATGATCTGGAAAATTAGTAGACATGACTATACAGTCCCTTGTATAATATATTTCTTAGAGTTTCAAGCAAATTCGGACCGACTTTCTTTACTATTCTCATTCTTCTAGATGCTCAAGAAGATTTCTGGTGTACATTGTTGAGAATGTTTCAAGGATAGCATTTGTTTTATAGTTTCTGTCTTTGGTTTGTATCTTTTATTTTCTTATCAGCAGTTTATCCTCAGCTCACCTATTGCCTTTTTTCCCTCAGTCTATTTTAAGCGACATTTGATCTCATTAAATGTTGCCTCCGGTCTCTACTTGTCCCCTAAACTATTATTTTTGTCCCATCTTACCCCCTAAATATTTTTAGTACCTACATTCCCCCTAAACTATTTATTTTTTGTCCCACCTTGCCCCTGAACAATCATTTTTCTCTCATAAACCCATTTACAAAACTGTCAAAGTCATAAACATAAGCGGTAGGTAGGTACTGAATTTGGATAGTTCAGGGAGTAAGCAAGGACTTGACAGTTTAGAGGGCAAGGCGAGACAAAAAATTGTTCTGGGGGTAAGCAAGGAACAAATTCAATAGTCTAGCGGGGCATGTAGGGACTAAAAATAGTTTAGGGTGTGAAGGGATAAAACTAATAGTTTAAGGGGCCAGTAGGGTCTGAAGCCTTAAATATTTAATGAACCTGGGCTATATGCATGGGTGTATTAGATAATGTAATATGTGAAGACTAACTTGTAGAGTTGCAGCTATCATATATACTAGGAGGCATAGACTCCTTTCCTTGTTTCTTAAAAGATCTCTTGACAATAATCTGGGGAATTGCTTTTCCTATTGTCTAATAATATTATTTGTGAAGTCATCATCTTAATTTACTGTATGAGCTGTTTTCTAATAAATTATTTTTAGCAATTTTAAGTCAAGGGTTTATTTGCTTACATTTTTTTTAAATTTTTTTTGCAATAAGACCTTGTTATGGAAGTTGACTTATAAATGGTTAATGCTCAACTGAATTTTGTATGTTTCCTTTTAAATGCAGAAGCAATGCAAAGAAGCTTCGAGGCATCCTCAGGATGCCTCATAACCGAGGCACTTAAATACAAATTTCAGGAAACTTCTAAAGAAGGGTTTTCTGAGAATGGAGATGAACTGCATAGAAATTCAATAAACACAGAATCAGAAAATTCGTCGAATAGAGAGGCTTCTGCACCTTCAAATCAAGGCTACAGCAGACCATTCTATCAACAAGAATTTTGTATGTGGCATAACTTCTATCCTGATGGTCATGCACTTCAGCAAGGCCAGTGGGCTAACTTTGGAACTCATTTCTATTCGATGAATAGAGAATTCCCTTATCCTGTGGACAATAGAGTTCATTATATGCCCTTCAAGATGCTTTATCATAATTTTCCACATGAATTTCAGTTTCAAGACTTCCACTATTTTGTGGTTATTGATTTTGAAGCAACTTGTGACAAGGAGAGGAATCCACATCCTCAAGAGATCATTGAATTCCCATCTGTTGTAGTTAATTGCATGACTGGGGAATTGGAATCTTGCTTTCAAACATATGTCCGACCTTCATACCATCAACATTTAAGCGATTTCTGCAAGGAACTAACCGGCATCCAGCAATCCCAGGTTATTATGAGCTTGTAACCTTCCTTCTGTTTTCGTCTAATTGTATAGAGAAAAACTCAACCTTAGCTCCTAATCGTTTTCGTCTATTTGTATAGAGCAAAATTCAACCTCATTTCCTAACCATTTTCGTCCAGTTAGACAGAGGAGCAATTATTGTAAACAGTAGTTACTTTGCTAATATTGTTTGGCATCTAGTTATAATTTGATTTCTCCATTGTTGATCACTTAACTTTCTTTCAAAACATAATTTGTTAAGTAATTTTCTTGCGCATGACTCTTATTCTTCATTGTACTTCAGCCCAAATTCAAGGAAGATGCGATTTTCAGTTTTCTTCATATAGTCCCTGTGTTTTACGTGTTGAATTATTATTAAAAAAAAAACGTGTTGTATTTGGTGGTCATATCTCGAAATGCAGAAAACTGCAAAAAGTAATCTGTCTTACAACCTCCGGTACATTGGAATTGCTGGTAAAATCATGTGAAATAGACACATTGTTTCATTCAACTTTCTCGTCTTTCAGTCATGCTCCAGAGTCCATGCTGATGATTAAGGTATTAAGAAGTTAGTCATGCTCCATAGTTTACTCTATATCAATGATTATAGTTATGAGCAATTCAGGGTTAAGATGAGAAATAGACTTTTTTACTGTTAAATGACTAACTATCCATTTCTTTTTTCTAAACACATTTTTTTGTTCTAGGTCATAAGCACTTACAGGATTTAGAATGTGTTTCACTATACAAAGACAACAACAAGCATCAACAACAATAGGGCTTTTATCCCAAATTTGGCGATTGGGTAAACAAATCCTTTGTTTTCCAGCCAGCTCAGCTACATGTCATCTCTGATAGATTAGTAACTACCATATCCTTTTTTACTATTTTCACCTGCGTTCATTAGTCAATGTGCTATAGATACGTTAGTAGAAGAGCACTTTTTTTTCTTTCTATTTTGTATTATCTGATGAGTAAGTCTGGAAAGTACATAGTTGGAAAAGAAGCTCCGTACTTGACAAATTAGTGTAATCTGTTACTGTGGAGGATGTCATGCAGTAATGCAGACTTGGTAGGACTTTGTTGTAGCTGTTACCCGTTGACTATAAATGTTTGCTGGCATATAAATCTTCTGGTAGGAGGCTTGTTGCTCCTTTTCTCCTATTCCAGATTACTGGGTTTGGAAATCAGAAAAGTAGATGAAGATGCCATTGGCCTTCATGCAGCCATAATCTGGAAGGAATTTATAGCATGGCATGAACATGGGCCTTTTTGAGAACCTCAAATATCATATGTTTAATTTTAAGCACACTTTGCAATATCTTCTAGGATTTTTTCATAGAAAGCACTTTAAAATAGGGTCATCCTATAGAAACCACCTTTCATTGTCAATTTGTATGTAAACCATCTTTAAACGGTTTTTTGTTACAATCAACCATCTGGACTCACTTTTAAGTCATGTTTTTTAGTTTTCCTTATAATGATCAGTCGTCAAAAACCAAGTATATTAGAGAGATGATCCTTAGAGGTTAGATGAGGTTATTTACCAAAAAAAATTAACTAAAAAGTGGGCCCAAGTGGTTGATTGAAAAAAATGTTTAAAGGTAGTTAACGTATAAATTACAACGAAATGTGGTTTCTATAGAATGACCGACTGTGCTTTAAGGGTGGTTTCTGGGAAACAACCCTATCTTCTAATTCACAAAGGTAGGAAACAAAAAGCTTGATAACTGGTATTGATAGCCATCTCTATTATGTTTCTACATTTATGAGTTTATAATGATCCCTCTTAACATATGTTTTAAAGTTTTGTACTTCACCATTACAATCTTCTATGTGAAGCAGACAGATGCAAGTAGAAGATTATCCTAGAGACTCAACATGGAGCCAACCTCAATTAAGATACTTTATTAAGGAAGTTTTTTAGTCTTCTATTTTATCTTATTATAATCTTGGAAGCCATCTCCTGTTGGAAAAGATTGGCTCTAGTACATGTGTTCCACCTTGTGGAATGTTAGCATGAAAGGGTCGCTCTAAGAAACTTCTAAAGATGGTCTTAATATGGATAACAAATGTCAAACCGTAGGAAATGTCATATATTACAGTGCTCGAAGGGGTATGACACAACATATTGCTTATGACAGGAGTTTAGGTTAGCTATTAGGAATGTAGGAGGACTTGGTAATATGGGTCCATCTAGCATGAGTAATGGGTGTCTTTATAGCACACACCTAACAACCAAATCTATATACCAACATACTATTAATGAGTAAGAGCGGGCATCGGAAAATGATTTCTGGAATGGTCACGCATTCTTTACCGTGCAGTGAGTAAAGAAAGCTGTTCATAATTTGTAGGTGAAATTACTTACTAGGAAAGTTATTGATAGTGGTGAGGCACTACTAAGACTATTTAGGACTATAGCAGCAAAAAGTGCAAAATCAAATAGCAGTCCAATTTAAATATGTATAAATATTCAAAAAAAATTTTAAAGGAAAAAATACATATTTGATGATTTATAGAGATCATAAGGAGAAGGAAGAGGACTCAGTGAGCTTCGAGTTAGCGAAGGCGGCGGAAAAGCAGAATAGACAGTAAAAATGGGGGTTTTAGGGTGTAGGTGAGTAGTTGGAGAGGGAGAGGTAGGGGTTGAGGTGGAGGGCAGTTGGAGAAGGGTTTTGGGGTTTGATGTGTTGTAGTTGAAGAGGGGGAGGTAGAGTTTGAGGTGAGTAGTTGGATAGGGAGAGGAGGATCGTCGGCGACGAAGTTGGAGGGAGAGAAGAGGCAGTGGAGTTGGTGGGATCATGGGATTAGGTTTTTTTTTTTGTCTTCTAAGATCGATTTGGAGAGGGGAGAGAAAAGAAGCTAAGAGGGGTTTTAGTTAATTACAAGTTGGGTGCGTGTCGGGTTTGGGTCAGATATTAAACTGAGAATCCATAATGAAAACACTATTACATACTAAATGCCGCTATTGTGAGCATATAGCGCACAGAGCTCTATCTTTCACCTATTGTCAATATTGTTGCAGGTAGTTGGTGCTAATGCAATTTGCAGCACTATTGGGCGCTATTTTCAACAGTGTTACTTGGATAGTACAAATGCTTGCAAGAAAATGTATTGAGGTGTGAACACAGTGATGAGAGAACTAATACATCAAGGACGTAGTTTGGAAAACCTGGAAAAGCTTAGTTAACAATTCAACTTGGTATGTACAAGAAGGGAACCTCAAATTGTAGAATAGTCTTGTACATGCATGTTTTCAAAAACAATTTTTTTCCTACTAGAATAATAAGACCTACTAATACTAACAAAAGTTATGTTAGGATAAGAGGTTGAGCTAATTATTGTTGCATGAAAATGAATAATACTAAGTTACTAACTAAACTATAAACCCTAGACTACTTTTATATTGCTAGAAGCAAAAATGTGGGAGTCCTTTACTTAAATCTTGCTATTAAAATATGCGAGTCATAAGGGACCCCACACTTTTTTTTAGTACTAATTTAGTTTGGATTTGTAGTCTAGTTATTACTACCATGTTAGAATATTGGTAGGTTTGATAGAGAATGGAATCTAAGGTTACACCTCATGCAACTTACATGACCGGGCGACTAATAAATATCAAATAGATGGTTTACGGTCGAAACCATTCATCTTCATCTCCACCCTTTGAGATGTACTTGTGGAAAAACACCTATCATATTTAGAGGTCTCTAACTCGTCAAGTTGTAGCATATAGTTTATTAGTGAAAGTTCATGTTGCATTCACTGGACGAATGGCCTCGAGATCTTTAGATTGGGTAGGAGATGAAGAACATCATCGTGTAGCAAATTTCACTTAGTAGTAATTAGTCACCCCTCATATTTTCCTATCACCTTTATCTCGCGTCCTCATTTTAATATCATACCGATTGAAATATCTAGCAACAGGACACAAAAAACTTTGAGGTTAAATGCTCAAGTTTGAAAAGAAGGGGAAAAGTAGAAGGGTGCCTGGAGAATTGTGGCTATTTTATGAAGATCGAAGCAGAAAATATAACCCGAAATCTTGTATTGCACGTAAATGCCTTTATATAGCAAAATACTTTTTGCTAAAAGCTTACATCCTCATGAACACTTCTTAAATGCTTTTTAGACCCTTACTAGATACAATTTTCTTACCTCCCAGGATATTTCTTTCGTAACAGTTGCATGTTCATATATGTAATTACTTTGTTTTATTCACTGTTATAAATAGCGGTAAATAGCCCCGCAATAGCGGCGCTAATAGCGTTAGCGGTCCCTTCCCAAGATGCTAACGCCCGCTACGCTATCGCACTATAGCGGTGATATATTACGGAATATGTCTGTTCGTAAAAACGGCCAATAATGTGTCATAACGGTAAATAGTGAGCGATTGTATTCGAAATTTGCTTTTTGACTGCTATTTAAAAACAGTTTGAGGCTTATTTTTTTAAAATTAAACTCAACCCTTGACCATTGCATTCCACCGTCTCCTGTGATTTTCAGCATACTCCCGTCACCTCTCATAGCCTCTGGCACCTACCTTGATACTTCACCGTCTCCTGTGATTTTCAGCATACTCCCGTCACCTCTCATAGCCTCTGGCACCTACCTTGATACTTCTTCTCACCTCCTTCATCGTGAGCCCTTCTTTGGGCAGTCCTGTCACCGCTAAGTTCTTCTTCTTTAAGACGATAACTTTTTGACTCCTCCAGTCATCTTCGGTATTACGTGATGGTTACATATCTATTTCATGTTTAGGATCACTTTAAATCATCTAATATGTACTTTTAGATTTCTTAGATTTTTCTTTAATTTTTTTAGTATTTATACATATCAAAATTAGACCGCTATTTGACTTTGCGCTTTTTACCGCTATTTTGCCACAATAGCTCAAAATAGCCTTAGCAATGCCTTACCGCTACGCGACGCTATCCGCTACGTGACGCTATCCGCTATCGATAATCTTGGTTTTATTAAAAACTTACATTCAAGGGAATAGGACGTCATAACAGTGATTTAAAGAAGTTGTAATAAGCTAGGCTGGTTATATATTGAATTAGTGGAAAACAAATTATCTATTTGGAAGTGTTGGTGGTCGTAGGAGCGACTCTAGCTGTGGCTGGGACTCAAATGCAGTTGCACTAGAGACTGCACAGAGGGGAGAGGTCAGTGTTGAAGGGGAGACAGCAAAGAGAATTGTCTGTGTGAGAGTTTTTTGGTCAAAAAATGACTTATATTTTTATTTTTTGGTTTTTAAATTCTGGTTTGACTCTTGTCAACCCTTTATCTTCATCTTTTATCATGCTTAATCTGGTCATATAATTGTTGCTATTGGTGAGGCCTGCTTTAGGGCCCCTGCAACCTAACAACCTAATTGGAGGTGCTCAGGTATTTAAGCCAAAAAATGCGTTTGGGTTAGTACCTTTTACAATAAGTAGAATACTAGATACCTGAAGTGTTTCACCACTTTATGTCTTATATTACTGATCCAATGCAAAACCTGAATCCCAGAACTCCATGTTCAAGTCACTGGCTGGCACCATCTCCATTGCTGAAAATAAAATATCAAATGAAAAAGTTTGATGTATCTGATGTTGTACCCAGAACTGAACTCGAAATCTCTTGCATCTCCAGCAGAGCTTTCCCAGTTTCCTCTTTGGCCAGGGTCACCTTTTAATGTATTACACCTTATTGTGCATGATCCTGCCATAATCTTTTTCTTCTTTTTTAACTTTGCTAGCATGTAAGCATTGAACAGGGACATAAGGATACAAAATTTCAGGTCCTTTCTGAAATTTGCTCTGCATAACATATTAATGATGGAATTTCAGGTGGACAGAGGTGTATCACTAAGTGAAGCTCTACTCATGCATGATAAATGGTTGGAAGGTAAAGGGATAAAACAAATGAAGTTTGCTGTAGTGACATGGTCTAGTTGGGACTGCCGTGTGATGTTAGAGTCTGAGTGCAGATTTAAAAGGATTAGGAAGCCTCCCTACTTTAATAGGTAATGATTCTTACTGTATTTATTCTCAAATTATTTTCTCATACTCCAGATATGCGAGCTTCACTTCTGTAGTTGTGGGTCATGTTGATAAAGTGTTTGTGCTTTTAGCATGAAGTGTACTGTGTTCTTCGGCTGAAGTATAATTTTCCTAGACATTATTTCAGTGATATTTATGCTATCCATAGATTTAAAATTTCAGAGCATTTTCCTTTGGCAATGGTGGACAGGATTCCTTCCCAGATTGATATATATTTGGAGAAATTTTTCATGTCATCAGGACAATGTTGAAATTTGATTAATAGCAGAGTGCGTACATAATTATTGAATTTGTTAAAAAGTTCTACGAACTCTCGCCACTATCCGTTGTAATATCGATACGTGTACAAAATCTCCTGTGACGGTAGTTATACCCTCATTTGCAATCCCCTCTATCTCGTCCAATGCGTCTATCTACAATTACATAAAAATATTGGTTCATATAAGAAACCAAAAGTTAACATAAAGATCGAAAAATCTATTATAATTGTCGCAATTTACTTATCCATCGCCTCTCATCTAACCCTCTTGTTACATATCGAGATTGTTGGTTGCGAATCTCGATTTCGTCGACTGGAGGCACGATTTGGTTTATTATCCAACATCGGGTAATCCCCTAATACCATCTAATGTAATCGACTTCATCCATCGAAGGATAAAGCTGATTGACAATAAGTTGATGCCGATCATTCTACCGAGCAATGTATGATTGATGCGTGCGCTGCCAGTTAATCTGATGTCCACCTTTAGACGCCTTTCTCTCTACTTGTTCGACCAATTATGGAGCGTGCTGTGTGAATCCAAACTGTCTAAACACGCGATCGAGTACGTGCATCTCCATAATTTCGAAACAAACGAGAGGAACTCTGTATCTTCATATGCCGTGTTCCTCCATACAAATTTTCGATAGACGAGGTAGTTAAGGTGTGTATGGTTGCCACTCGAACTGTAAAATAATCCATATATTAATTGTTGTTTGAAATTTACCGATAACTTTAAATGATTGCAATTCAAATTCATACCTAAAAAGTTTTTATTTGGTCGAGCTCCCCTTTGTAAAAGTCTAACTGTCTAGCCGGGACCTCAAAATAGGCTTTAGTGACATCTCATCTACAAGTTTTATATAAGATAGATTTTTGTTCAAAAATTTAAATTTAAAATTAAATATTAAACGAGATTAAATTCGATGAATGTTACCTGCAGCCTAGTGGAATTTGTCCATCCAACTCTCGGATCTCGCATAATCGCGGTTTCAAAATCAGCCTCTCCCATGCCCAAACTTGTAACAATGTCAAACAACCCTTGAGCTCTTTATTTTGCATTAAAGCAACCTTTGACATTTCTCGATATAGATATGCTAAAACAGCACTAGCTCTTTATTTTGCATTAAAGCAACCTTTGACATTTCTCGATATAGATATGCTAAAACAGCACTACCCCAGGATAATGTCCCACACACGTCAAAGTCTTCACATTTCTCGATATAGATATGCTAAAACAGCACTACCCCAGGATAATGTCCCACACACGTCAAAGTCTTCAAGAAATAGTAACCACCTATTGAAAAATCAATTGTGTTAGTCATATTTTCTAAAAATAGTAATAACAATTTATGACCTGTCTTACCTCAAATGCACTTTATGTTTACTTGAATCGGGAAAAAGAAGCATCCCGATCATGTGTAAAATATATGCTCTAGCATGTTGTTGGATCATGACTTCTGATGCATCGTGTGACAATGGGTTTGTAATTCTCTTTAACCACTTCAATCTAATATACCCTCTAGGCAAGGGCTCTGGAGATAGTCCTAACAAATCATCACATACTCTCCGCCAAACATGCCTATCTATCCCTGTGACACAAGGGCCATCAATGTGGAGTCCTAGGATCACTGTTACATCCTGAAGAGTAATAGTTGCCTCCCCGACACGTAGATGGAAAGTGTTAGTCTCGGACCTCCACCTATCCATTAAAGCGGTAAGCAGTGCCCAGTCGAGCTTCATCCATTGCAATTGTGAGCAAATCAAAAAACCGGCTTGGGATACTAGGGTAATGATGCGAGGATCATCAAGCGGCCAACGCATATGTCCAAGGCTATGATCAATCATAACTAGCTCTTGCCCTCTCTAGACAAAAATAAAAACAAATATTAGAATATCACAATAAATAAATAATGTAAGTATAAACTTATGACTAAAAACATAGAAACATAATACCTCTGTAAATGATATGCTCTCTGAACGACGGCGTGGCTGATCATAGAGGACGTCATTAGAAATCGGCCCGGGGAGCATCTTGTATATACCTGCACATGTTATTATTACTTTATTAGTTTCTGCCAAATGTATAAGAATATAATAATAAAATTGTCAATAAAAATAAAAAATATTTTACCAATTAATTCCTATCTACTTGTTCTTGATAGTCAACGAGACTTATTATGCCTAATTGACTACATGTTCCACATCTAATGCGTGACGCTGCTCCTTCCCGGCCTTGATCCATAGTACCTTTAATGCGCGCAGATCGAGGTCGTCTCGCTTGTCTTTTGACTTGAGGTGGTAATAGATATTCCGTATAAATGTCAGGCCAATAACAAGTATCGTCGGGAGGATGAAAACTCTCTTTATAAGCCTTTCGATAATGATTTGTTGAATACCAAGCTGAGCAATACCGATCATACGACAATCTAGCGTCATCATCCTGACTGGAACTAGCCGCTAAAACATGTTCACATGGTAGTTTTTGTAATTATGGTAGGCTATAAGTACAACTACACTCTTGGTCATAGAGATGAACGGTGTAAGTACCATCAAGATCCTTGACCTCCCATTCATTGTCGTTGAATGGTTCAATTCTACATGTTCTTACAGCCATAACCCTTTTCTGCAATATTAACTCATTTTTTGGAGTGTACTTACTCGTCCAATTTGCACCATCACTTCGTCTCTTATTAAAGTATGCGTTCAATCTATAAAACGTCCTTACAACTAAGGCACTAATTGGCATAGCACGGGCACCCTTAAGTACACCATTAAAACTTTCAGAGCAATTAGTCGTCATCATACAATAACGCACTCCACCATCTTTACATAATGCCCATCGATCTTCGTAATGCGGCTTCAAGTTTTGTTCAATCCAATTGTGTGCTTCAACTGATAGGGATTTAATTTTTTATCTACAATGCTCATATACATGTGAGTCAGAGGCACACCCGGCTTGCCACAATAAATTTTGTAAATTGACCTCTTCATGTTTTCTCTTAAAATTAGCTCTTATATGTTGCAAGCAATAACGGTGATGATGTGGTGCACTCCACCCCTCATGCAAGGCTCGTGGAATTCATTTCATTCGGTCAGAAATAAAGGTAATAGCTCTTTGACTTTGAACAGTCGGAATGTATTTGTAAATACACTAAAAAAACCACTTCCAACTGGATGTATCCTCCACCTCCACAACTGCGAAAGCTATTAGAAATAGCTCACCGTTTGCATCTTACACCGGTCACAACCAAGAGCATTCCTTTGTATTTGTCATATAAATGTGTTCCATCGATGTTTAAGAGCGGACGACAAAAAGAGAACCCTTTGATAGCGGGCCCAAATGCCCAAAATACCAGATGAACCTCTCCATTTCTGGCGCGATCTCCTTAGACACTATCTCAGATTCGGTACCCGGATTTTTTCTCTTAATTGCTGCAAGATAATATGTAAGTTTTTGGTAAGATTATTCCCAATCTCCAAAGATTTTAGTCTACGCCTTCCTCCGTGCATTATATGTTTTAAACTTGGATATAGTTATGCCTTTCATAATATGAACCGTTGTAATTATCTGTCTTGGAGTAAGATCAAATTCCCGTCTAACTTCGGGTATAATTAGTTTCATGATATAAGCGAAAGTTGCTGTCTTATGATCATTAGCGACAATCGGATTACAACATGTATGAAGTCCGCAATAACTTGAGATCATAAATTGCCCGTTAGATTTTTTCCTAACACCTGCATTAACTTCCATGAATATTTTAAATTTCTATCGTAGGCAACACTTGTATAAGAGGCTTGACATTTCTCATTGAAGTAGCACTTTACATGATAGCTAGTTGTATTGGATTTCACCGGCTTGAATTTGACCCGGTTCCTAATTGACCATTCACGTATAACAAAAATTAAGCTTTCCTTATTCTCGAATAGATCTCCTTTTTTGAAAGTGATATCCTCAGGTCAATCAAAATTAGGACCAGACTCAACTAACTCAGCTTGTGAGTTATTTATCCACTTGTCATTTTTAAACTCTTCGGGCAACGGTTTTTTCAGACTCTACATAATCGTTGTTCACGCAATATTCATTCATCCAACTTGCGTCATCATTGTTCTTTCCAATTGTGAACTGCATACTATCAAGACGTTCCTCCCCGGACTTAACATCTTCACTATCATCATCAGCATCTACATATTCGTCCTCCTTAGACTCAACATCTTCACTATCATCATCAGCATCTATATATTCGTCCTCTTCTATTATAGAATCACCAATCGGTAAATCAGTTGAAACATGACCCGATGCGTTGTGAAACATGTCACTTGACATTGCACCTGAGACATTTTTTAAGTGCAAGGCACTTTGAGATAACGAGATTTGACTTTCAAGCATGCAAGAGAACTCTCCGTGAGCATACGAAACTTTGACAACGCCAGACTTTAGAATATTTTCAATGAACAACTCAATTGCGATTTGTTTATCCGTAAGTTGTATCATGTCATTCAATTCTTCATCAGTGGTGATCTCTACAACAATTGTTCTTTTTTCATTTATTGGACAATTACAGAATACCTTAATGACATTTTCGGCATGATTAATTCTGGTAACTCTGTATATTTGTTCCATCATTCCATCGAAATTGTAATTTCTAGACAACATGAACATTTTGTCTAGAGTCTCCGTCATATATAGGCAAATTATTCATTCCAACACTCAATTTCCCATTGAATAAGCAAATAATCGGAATTCCATTCGTCATTTTAACAGAAGAATTAAAATTTGACGTATACAAATTAGATATTTTACAAATTGATGATCATAATTAATTATTTCCTCTAGATATACAATATTAACTAAACAAAACAGAGAAATTTATGAAAAAAAAAATGAAATTGTTACCTTGATGAAATTTCGGATCTCGTCTGCATCGGAGAGTATAGACGGCATCGGTGTCGGAGATAATAGACGGCGTCAGATTTGAAGGAGAAGGGGGTGAGTTGGATTTGGGAGAGAGAACGGGTTTGGGAGAGATGGAGATCGAGTTTAGAAGGGATGGAGATCGGGTTTGAGTGTGACAATCGGGTTTGGGAGGGAGTGAGATGGGTTTGGGAGAGAGAAGATCAAGAGATTGAGAGTGAGATTGGGAGAGAGAACTCAAGAGATGAGTTTGGGAGGAATAGCGGCTGTGCCCAAATTTAGGGCACATCTGTTTAAATAGGTCGACTTTTCTACGGGACTAGTAGTCCTGTAGATCTAGGCTGGGGAGTTTTTGTTTTATGTACGGGACTACTAGTCTCATACGTTTTGTTGAACACAAAAGAACTCTTAGAAATCATACGGGACTACTAGTCCTGTGTGTTTTCTGTGAGCACTAATCGGTGATTAGTGCCTTTGAAAACATACGGGACTAGTAATCCCGTATGTTTTTAGTTGCGCGTTTTTTAATCTGTTGGCCAAAAAGAGGTCGATTTTGCTAAATATTTAGTAAAATGGTCGATTTTGTTAAATATTTAGCAAAATCGGTTTATTTAAAAAAATTCCTTTTTTTAACTAAACAAGTCTAAACACCCTTTTAAATCATAGTTTTTAATTTGGATATAGGTTGAAAACGGATCCATGTCTAACGAGTTTCAAAAAATGGGCATGAGACGTCCAAGAAGTGTATGACAAGTATTTTAAACTAAAACACATATCATGAGTACATGTTGGGGTAAATGTACACACATCAAAGGAGTGTCCATAAAGTTTAGGTACAGATAAATGTCGGGTATGTGTCGGGTACATGTACGGCTTCATGATAGAAGTACCCAGGTGACATGGGCTTGTACTCATGGTTTGAATAGTATTGTGAATTTTTATCATTGTTTTAAGAACTTCTTAACCAATGTCCATTCTGATAGTAGTTCCCTCCTTTCTTGTTTATGTCCAGTTGGATCAACCTAAAGGTTCCGTTCCAAGAAATGTTCGGGGTCCGTTGCAATCTCAAGAATGCCATTCAGCTCGCTGGCCTCAAATGGGAGGGCCGTCCGCACTGTGGCCTTGATGATGCTCGCAACACAGCTAATCTCCTATCTCTCCTCATGCGTCGCGGGTTCCGCTTCTCCATCACCGATTCTCTAATTTGCCCCCCAGTGAACTTGGGGGTCCCACCATCACCACCTCAGCGGCCATTGAAAGAACCGATGATGAACGCGCCTCCTCAATTCCACACTTTTGTAGACCCCCTGGGAAGGGATCGGTGCCCTTATTGTTATTGTGGGGTACGGAGCAACAAAGGGATGGTTCGAAGGCCTGGGCAAATGCACGGTAGGGGATTTTATGGGTGCGGGAACTGGACAGCAGGGAGGCGTGCTGTCTGTAATTATTTTGCTTGGGCTTCTTGAAGAGAAACTGGGAATAAGTTGATCTTTCTATAAGAAAATGATGGAGAAACAATAATCCGTGCTAATATTGCTTCGTATATAAATATAGTTGACGAGGACAAGTGACGAGTTGTTATGTTCGTATGCCGGTGGGAAGTCTTGTAGGTAGTTTTATCTAACCTTTGAGAACTGAGGGATATGGGGTATGGTTATTGGCATGATAACTGGGGACATGCTTAATTACCTGAAATAATCTGATGTTGTGTTGAAGGACAATTCTTTTTTTGTGCTCTTTCCTTTAATGGATTCCTGAGCTTGGTTTGGTTTGGGTCAGTAGTACACATGTTTGCAAGTTCAGTTTGATTTAAAATTATCAGAAAACACTGATCTATTCTCCTTGTGATCTATTCTCAGTTGGTGTGCATTGGTGTTGTCTACAATTTCTCCCCTTTTTTCCCTTCAAGATTATGAAAATTTCTGCTTGATTCGCAGCAAGTTTTGTTTGGACGATGTTCTTACCTTCTTTTAAGTTATCCTTGCCTGTTGTCTTTCTTGACGTTGGTTATTTTCATATAAATGGATCCCTTTATTAAGTTTTTGACTCTTTTATCTTCGGTGAAATTTAAGTGAATGTTTTCCCTTGGTGAAAGTAATGAGTCTATCTGAAGGTGAAAGAGTCAAAATTGTTTTAGAAAATATGTTGATTGCCGGCAATCATTGCAATAGAAGGGTTTAAGTTGGGAGTGCGGGGAAACATTGAGAATGAAGGAGTGCGAGGGATAAGAAGGAAGAGGAAATCTTTTGTCCTACATAGGAAAATCAGAAACAAAATAGCAAGCTTCAATCCCAAAACTATTTGATTTCCACTCCTAAAACTCTCTTCTCCTCTCAGTTATTAAAGAAGAAATAAATTAGAGCTGTACAAGGGCCTGTAGCATGTGGCTAATGATCGGTGAATCCTGAAGGGTAGACCGTCAACAACCTGCTGCATCAAGAGATACTCTCAGATGGGCGAAATATACTTTTAGGGATAGCACATTCAAACGCCTCGATCACACCAAGAGAGGTTCCCTCCCATCTTGAAAGCTTGTTTTCAGTTTCGTAGTAGTAATCCTAGTTAATTTTCCAATAATTTTAGGAGTAGATTTAAAATGAGTACTGCTATGGTTGCTACTTCCATTGTTAAGTCTTTGCCTGATATTTATAAAATCAAACGTTTTAATGAAACTCACTTTAAAAGATGGCAATAAAGGGTTTTCTCTACACTTGATGTAACTGGATATGCTTTTGCTTTAATTGATCCTAATCCTGAGCACCTTAAGCAATGAGTTATTTGATGTTTATTGTCCTTACAAAACTATAACTAAAATTTGGAAAAGTCTAAATAAGAAATATGTGCTTGAAGATGCTAGAACTAAAAAATCTGCTATAGAAAACTTTCTTAGCTTTGTTATGTCTGAAAAAAAAATATATCATCTCAAATCTATGAATACCATGTTTTAATTGATGATCTTAAAAACAAAAACATTAACATACCCAAAGCTTTTGTTGCTGGAGCCTTAATCGTAAAACTATCCGAGTCTTGGAAAGATTATAACGAAGAACTAAAGCACAAAAGGAAAAAAAAGAGTCTTGAAATATAATAATTCACATCCAAATTGAAGAAAAGAACAAAGAAAGAGAGAAAATTGAAAGAGACAAGGAATTTGCTTCCAAGGCAAATCTAGGTAAAAGTGGATCTTCCAAACCTAAGAAGCTTTTTAATAAGAATAACAACAAAACAAAACATAACCCAAAGAATTTCCACAAGACTAAAAGCAATCCCAACTCGGCTTTCAAGAAGAAATGAATCTGTTTTGTTAGTGGCAAGCCTGGGCACTACTCTACAAGCAAACATTATGGAGGAAGATATTATTGTTGCAGTGGTCTCTGAAGCTAACATGAATACACATAGCAAAGATTGAGTTATTAATTCCGGTGCAACTCGTTATATATATGCCGATGGAGGAGCCTTCATTCCTACTCCTCTGCTGACAATGGAGAACAAATATTCATGGGCAATTCGAGGTCCTCGCTCACCGCGGGTAAGAAAAATGTACTTCTCAAGCTTACTTCCAGGAAGCTCATTTCTCTTATAGATGTGCTTCATGTTCCTGAGATCCCTTGTAGCCTCAATTCAGTATCCCTTCTCGTTAGAGCTGGTGTTAAGGTATGTTTTGAATTTGATAAAGTTGTAATAGACTAAAAATGGATAATTAGTGGGGAAAAGGCTATGGTGGTTAGGGTCTGTTTATGTTTAATGTACTTGAAATAATCATGAATGAAAATACATCTACCTCTTTTGCTTACTTGGCTGACTCCTCTAATCTTTGGCATGATAGATTTGGACATGTTGGTTTCTCATACATTAAGAAAATAAAAGATACAAGCATGTTGTATAATGTTAATATATCTAGTCATGATAAATTTGAAATATGAGTAGAATCCAAATCAACTAAGAAATCTTGTATAAGTGTTTAAAGAGAATCTGAATTGCATGAATTAATTCATAGTGACCTTGGGGATTTAAAAGATAATTACAAGATGTGGTAAAAAGATTCTATATAAACTTTACAGATGACTATTCTAGATATATAGTAGACTATCTGTTGAGATTAAAAGATGAGGCATTTGAAATATTTCTAAAATATAAAACAGAAGTGAAAATCAGCTACATAAGAAAATCAAAAGATTAAGATCAATGTGGTGAATATGAACTTAAACAATTTAATAAATATTGTGAAAACCATAGAATAATTCATGACACTATCCCTCCATATTCTCCCAAATCTAATGTTGTAACCGAAAGGAAAAATAAAAAACTAAAAGACATGATGAATGCAATGTAAAATAGTTTAGGAGGCACCTCCTTAACCGGAGGGAGGGGGGGGGGGGGGGGGCATCCTTTCTGGCTTAATGCATTATACCAAAATAGAATATCATATAAGAAAAGTAGAATTACACCTTATGAACTTTAGAAAGGTCATGCACCTAAGTTGAATTATTTAAAAGTGTGGGGTTGTTTACTAAAGTTTTGGCTACTCGAACCTAAAAGAAAGAAAATGGGACCTAAGACTTCCGGTTGCATGTTTCTTGGTTATGCTCATCATAGTCCTTCTATTGATTTCTTGTAACTATAAGTGATAATAATGTTGTGGAGTCTAAAACCTTTGTTGAAACTAAATATACAGAATTCTTTGAGCATGTTTTTCCTTTGAAGTCTCATGTAGATAAATCTTCTCATGCTTCATCTTCTGGTCATGCACATGAATCTGATGATAATATAGAATTGAATTGAGAACAAGTAAAAGAGCTTGAAAGAAACTAGTTTTGATGATGACTTCTATATCTTTGTTGTTGATGATGATCCTCTCACTTCCAGTGAGGCTCTCTCCTCCAATGAGGTTCTCTCATCTCTAAATGCTTCTTTCTAGAATGAAGCCATTAATAATTAACTAATATCTCTATTATTTAACCATACTTGAGTGCTTTTTGATTTGCCACCTGGTGCAAAACCAATTGGTTGCAAATGGACCCTTAAAAGAAAATTAAAACCTGATGGGTCCATAGATAAACTTAAAGCTAGATTGGTTGCTAAGGGATACACTCAAAAGAAAGATTTTGGTTATTTTAACACCTTTGCACCTGTGACTAGGATTGCATATATTAGAGTGTTATTCACTTTAGCTTCTATAAATATGCCGATGATGTTGGAATTGGGATGCACGCTTAGAGGGGGGGTGGGGGTGGTGGTGGTGGTAAAAAGATTGCTATAGTTTTTCAACTAAACGCAGAAAATACAGTGAAAATATAATAAATGAAAAATAAAAAGTAAACTAGCAAAGAAACACACGAGATTTTTATAGTGGTTTGGATAGAAATCCTACATCCAATCTTTCTTCTCGCAAAAGGTCTTCCTCACTACGACTAGAGCTAGAGTTCACCTGAATTACAAACCGATTCAGTCGGCTTCAAAGACCACACCCTAGAATCTACCAAAAATAGCCATCTCATCTAACTCTTTACAATGACTAAAAGAAACCTACGCTAGCTAGACTAACCCTTAATTGCCCTTGCTTGAGTATATCATCAAATCTAACCCTAGCTAGCCTAACCCTCAATTACCCCGGCTTGAGTACACCGTCACACTCACAAGTTTAAAATATAACTCTAAAAATAATTAAGTACAAATAAAACAAT